CCAAAGTGCTGGGATTACAGGCTTGAGCCACCGCGCCCAGCCGAGAAATCTTAATGGTCATAGCACAAGTAGTTTGCTAGGACTGCTGTGACCGAGTACTCCAAAACCGGCAGCTTAATACAAATGAAATTTTTAAAGTTCTGTTCTGGAGGCTGGAAGTCCAAAATCAAGGTGTTGGCAGAGCCATGCTCGCTCCAAAACCTGTAGAGATGGATCCCTCTTTGCTTTTTCAGCTTCAGGAGCCCCACGTCTTCCTTGGTGTGTGGTAGCAGAACTCCAATTTCTGTCTCTGTCCTCACATGGCCGTCTTCCCTCTGGGTCTGTGTCTGCACATGCTGTTCTCCTGTCTGTGCATGTCTGTCCGAAGTTCTCTCTTTCAGTAAGGACACCAGTCACATTGGATTAGGTACCACACTAACGACCTCATCTGAACTTGATTGCCTCTGCAAAGAGCATATTTCCAAATAAGGCCACACTAACAGGAACTAGGGATTAAGACATCTATGTATTTCAGGGGTGAGGGGGACACTGTCCCAGTCTGGGCCCTGGGGAGAAGACTCCCAAAAGTCTAGACATAGTTATCCATATGCCATATGTGGTTTCTGGTGATGAAGTGATCATGGCTTCTCCTGAACGATGGCTTAACTTTATGAACCCACAACTCTGTCTTCCCCAGGATATTGAAAAAGATAAGGTAGGATGTACAGGCTTCAATCTGTTCAAATGAATATGAAAGTCCCTGGCTCCCTTTAAAATAAGTACCATGGGTTTTATCTCTCTGCCTTACTTCCTCATAAACATTCTGAATGAGAAGAGCTTAAATCATTATTTGTTCAATTTTGTAATTAGGTGACAAAAAATTAATTAAAATATTCCTCTATCCATTTCCCTTTATCAGTGAACATGAAGTTATCTTTTGATTCATATTTAATATGTTCAGTACTGCAACACTGAACAATAGTATGGAGGAAAAGATGCCAACTTCAGTTTGAACCTGCTTCATCATTCCTGTCCCAACCCCCGTGATTAGAAAATCAAAAAGATCACTTTGGGAAATAGCCTCAGTGAGATCAAAAGCCAGAGGAGGCTCCAGGATCCCTTGTTCCTAAGACAAACAGGCAGAAGGGGTACACACATAGGATTGCAGCCCTTCTTCACTTCATTTGTTCACATCCTTCATGCTTGTGTGTATGTCTGTTGTCAGTGCAACTGAGAATGCCTTCATTTTTGGTGGTATACTAAAAGGCATTAGAAAGCAAAATCAGGTGGGATGTGATGGCTCATGCCTGTAATCCCAGCGCTTTTGGAGACCGAGGTGGGTGGATCACGTGAGGTCAGCAGTTCCAGGCCATTCTGGTCAATATGGTGAAACCCACCTCTACTAAAAATGCAAAAATTAACTGGGTGTGGTGGCAGGTGCCTGTAGTCCCAGCTACTCAAGAGGCTGAGAAAGGAGAATCTCTTGAATCAGGGAGGTGGAGGTTGCAGGGGGCTGCAATCGTGCCATAGCACTTCAGCCTGGGCAACAAGAGTAAAAGTCCATCTCAAAAACATAATAACAAAGAAAATGCAAAATAATATCAAAGCTACCATTAATTACAACATAATCACTACTCTAACAGTGTGTCAAGTGTCTTCAAAAGCACCCGTGTTCTCTCGCTATTCATTTGATCTCCATTTGGCACTGTTTTGTTGCTTGAATAAAGCTTTATGCTGCCAGGTTTTCCCACATATTCATAAAGCAAAGTTCTCAGCTCTACCTATAACCATGACTGTTATTTGACATTGCTTCCTTCCTTCATGGGTAGTACTACCAAGCTTGACCCAACCCTCACTATGGCCAGTTAGACCCAACCATCTATCACAACAGAGAGTCTCAGGTGAAGTAAAGCAAATGTCATGAATTCTTCCAAATGTATGGCACACTGAATAGTTTGAGATGTACTAATTGAGAATTGCTGACTTTAACATTTCAAGTACAAAATAAGTGTTCAATTCTTTTTGGTCAGCTTAGATTTCCTTTGGTTCTAGTTATGAATCATTTTCTTTCCTTTTTCTTTTCTTTCTTTTGTTCTTTATTTATTTATTTATGCTTTCTTAATTTTTTGAGCGAGGTCTTGCTTTCTTGCCCAGGCTGGAGGCTGGAGTGCAGTGGCATGATCAATGCTCACTGCAGCCTCATCCTCCCAGGCTCAAGAGATCCTCCTGCCTCAGCCTCCTGAGTAGCTAGGACAGCAGAAATGTGCCACCATGCCTGTCTTTTTTAATAAATCTTTTGTAGCAACAATGTCTCACTATGTTGCCCAGGCTGGCCTCGAACTCCTGAGCTCAAGCAATCCTCTTGCCTCAGCCTCCCAAAGTGCTGGGATTACAGGCATGAGCCACTGTGAATGGCCTACTTTGATGAATCTTACTGATAAAAGCCCATCCATGCATCCATATACTAATACTTGTAAGGCATAGAAATACATACAACAGGACTATATACACACATATATGTATATAGACGACAGCTTCCCTGCACTCAAGAAGTTTGTGTAACCTTTTTAAAAAATGAAATTTATAGGAAAAACTATAATTCATCTTAGATTTCCATTAAAAAATGTGTCATAAGGTAATAAAGAAAAGAAAGCCCATCCAACTGAGAAGGCATGGAAAAGAAAATCAAAAAGTCCCGAGAAGAATGTGAAACTTGGGAAGGTGATAGATAGTCCTTTGACAAGTGGAGAATGTTCCTCTGAATTCTGTAAGAGTGCAATTTCTAGAAGTAGTGATGTAAGTAGGTAGTTAGCCTGTGTCTTTAGAACCTAACATTCCTCATTCTTTGCCTCTAGATACCGACTCATTGGTTCCTCGTCTGCCACATGCATCATCTCAGACACTACTGTCATTTGGGATAAAGAAGCACCTATTTGTGACAGTAAGTTGAAATATCCCTTCCTATTTCTTTTACCGATACATTCTAATTTTTCTCTGGAATAATAAAAATCTTAACCGAATTCCTTCTGTGCAATTTGTCCTTCACATAGCTGAAGACAGCTGTAAGGTTCTCGAATATTCCTCTGGGGTTCCTGGCAACTCTTTCCTTAAGTTCTTCCTTATCCTGGGATGTGTCTTTTCTAATTTTGGGGGCTTAAGTACATAAAAGCCTTCAAACTTAATTTTACTTTAATAAATTTGAAATTATGTTGGTTCTACCACCTCTGGTGTAATAATCATCCTGCTTGGCTAATCAGTAAAGATTTTTAAAACTGATGCTCTTCAAGGTTAGTGAAGCTTCAGAAGAACCTGGACTTCCATATACCACAAAATCAAGTTTCATCCTCTTGAAAGGCACCATACACTATAAACCTCAGAAGTGGGCATATATTTTAACCTACTTCTTAGAATTGATACTTAGGAAATAAAACACAAACTTCTTAAAGCAGTTTGGTGTAAACTTTTCATTGCAGCATTATTTATATTAGTTAAAATGTTAGTGTAACCTAAATATTTTAAGCTATGGTTTGAAAATGATCTACTAGAAAGAAAGAGATGTGTTCAAATGACCACTGTAAAGAATTCCCTAAGAAACATAAAATAGCTTTGCAGAATTAAAAAAAATGTATATACATACACTGGCATCTTATTTAGCCATAAAAAATGATAGCATTAGGAGAAATACCTAATGTAGATGATGGGGTGATGGATGCAGCAAACCACCATGGCACATGTATACTTTTGTAACAAACCTGCACATTCTGCATATGTACACCAGAACTTAAAGTATAATAATTTTTAAAAGATTACATAAAGAAGCAGTTAATGATAAGAAAGAGATGTTTTATGTGGGAAAAAAAAGTCAGATGAACGGCATGTATGGCAATATCTCATTTTATTAAAAAAAATACACCTATGTAGCGGGGGGCCAGGCTGAGGCTGAGAGAAATACAGTGTATAACATCTTTGTCTTACTGTTCTCTTTGGATACCTTGGGGACTTCTTTTCTTCTTATTATTTAAAAATATTGTTACTTTTGCTAGAAATTTTATGAGCTTCAGAATCTAAGTTTATAAATGACATTGGTCACACATTTATTGCTGTTTATCCAGTTTAAGAAACAGTTTTGATATTTTGTAAAACAAATCAAGAAACTTTCCATCTTATTTATAATCTGTAATAAGGTAACATGGAATTGGAATAGGAATTTTCTTAGAAATATGAACAAAATATTATTAGTAAAATAGAGAAAACAAACAAAATAATACAGCTATACTTATACCTATATTTTTATCTCTGTTTCTAGTTCTGTAAATTCTCTATATCCAAATGCTGGTAAATGGCTTTAAGTCTTCTTGGAGAAGGCTAGGGGAAGATTTACAACACATGCTTTTGACTGTGTAGCATGGTGCTTCCTCAAAAGGATCCAGTCTCCCATCCATTCATGCTGCTCTGAGTCTATAAACTGTTCAAGTCTAGGAATTGTTGATGTACAATGAACGTCTTTTGCAATGATTCAAGTCAGAATTCTACTCACTTGACCTAAATCTCTTCTACTCATACAAATCAAATAACACTTTAGTCGGCTATCCATCTACTTCGGTTTTAGAGACTCCATGATGAATTAGCCAGTAACAAAGTTCTCTTCAGTCAAATCATTCTGATTGCTGTTTCAACTCCAATACCCATTACGAGAACCCCCATTGTCTGTGACAATTAAGTGCTACCACTTGGGCTCTGCCACCCTGAGGTCCTTCGATCCCCAAGTGAATTCGGAAAACCCAGTTCAATGGCAACAGTTCCCACTATCATTCCCAGCCTACAGAGAATGAGCTGTCACAGAGGATGCTGAAATTTCCCATGTGAATGTATTTCTCAAGTCTCAGGTAAAAGGTCTATCCTCTGAACCCTCCATTTCTGCACTGTGCCTCACCAACCCTATCCAAGGATGACCTTCAGAGTGGAATGGCTGTTACTTAACATTTGCCTCTCAAATATCAGGGTAGTTTCTCATGCTGTAATCCTAGCCCAGAACCATACACAGAAACTAAGTCTGGAAAACGTAATTCTAAATTGGCCTGGCTGACACTGTACCAAACCACCAGATAATAATTTCATTTAACTCTTTATTTTCTTATCTTTCTTTCCCTCCCTCCTTCCCTCCCTCCCTCCCTCCCTCCCTCCCTCCCTTCCTTCCCTCCTTCCTTCCTTCCTTCCCTCCCTTCCTTCCTAAACTCGCTTCCTTCCTTCCTAACCTCCCTTTCTTCCCTCCTTCTTTCCTTCCTTCCCTCCCTCCCTCCCTCTTTCCTTCCTTCCTTCTCTTCCTCCTCTCCCTCCCTCCCTCCCTCCTTCCGTCCTTCCCTCCCTTCCTTCCTAAACTCTCTTCCTTCCTTCCTTCCTTCATTCCTTCCTTCCTTCCTTCCTCTTTTGATATCTTCTTTGAACCATAGGCTATTTAGAAGAGCACTGCTTAATTTCTAAATATTTAGAGATCTCCTTGTTGTCATTATTCTATTAATGTAAGCATTTACAACTTCTTGAGACATGTTTTATGGCTCAGAATATGGATGATTTTGGTAAAATGTTATGTATGCACTTAAAAGACTGTACAGTTATTTTGTTTCACTTTCTGGAAATGTCATTTAGGAAAATGTGATTTAGAACAGTCTTTTTTACCCCCCTCCACTTGTTCTCTCGGTTATCGGTTAGGTTATTGGTTATCAAGAGGCATGTGTAAAATATCTGTATTAGCTTCTCAGAGCTGCTGTAACAAATGATCACAAACTTGGTGGCTTCAAACAAGAGAAACTTACTCTCTGAAGAGTTTGGAAGCCAGAAACCCACAGTTAAGATGTCGACAGGATTGGTTCCATACGGAATCTGTTCTGTGCCTGTCTCCTGGCTTCCTTCCAGTGGCTGCTGGCCATCTGTGATGTTCCCTGGCGTGATCATCACACGTGATGCATCATTTCCTTCTCTGCCTCCATCTTCTCATTGCCTTCTCCTCTGTGTGTTTCCTTTGCTCTTCTGTCTCCTATAAAGACACTGGACGCGGATTTAAAGGCCACCCTGGCAATCCAGGAGGGTCTCAACTCAAGATCATTAACTTGATTGTTTCTACAAAGACTCTACAAATTGGGCCACGTTCACAGGTTTCAGAGGGTAGGACACAGATATTTTTTAAGGAGGACAGTGGTTATTCAACCCATTACAATTCTCAACTGTAGCTATGAATTTGTCTGTCTTCATCTTTGTTCTAGCAATTTTTACTTTATGTATTTTAAACATGTTATTAAAGGCATGAAATGATTGGTTTATTCTATCTTTCTGCTGAATGGACAACTTTATCATAATGAAATGTCTCTATCTCTCATACTTCTTGCTTTAAAATCTACTTTGTACATTAATATAGCTATATCAGCTGTCTTTCTTGTTTTTATATTATGTATGATTTAAATCTTTTACTTTCAGCTCTTTTTTGTCTTATATTTAAAGCTTGTCTCTTATAAACATCATATAGTAACGTTTTGTTGTTTCATTCAGTCTTTCTTAGTTGTTCATTGGTGTGTTTGGAACACTTAAATTTAGTAATACAAATTAAAATAAAAAATACATTTAATATAGTTACTGATATAGTTACCGATAAGCCTAACTCTTGGTTATGTTTTTTATTTGTTTTGTGTGTTTATTCCTCATTTCACACATTTTTTAATTCATTAAGTATTTGTATTATTTTATTTTTCCCCAATAACTTTTAAGTTATATTTCATTTTTATTCTTTAAATGACTACTCTAGAGATAGACATCCTTGATCTACTATCGTCTACTAAAAGTGTGCCTTTACCACTCTCCAAACAATGCAAGTATTCAAACTATTAATATTTAATTCCATTTACATCCTCCTGTCTTTTTCCATTGTTGTCATACATTTTGTAAAAAGAAAAACTTCAGCTGAATTAAATTTAAAAGAGTTTAACTGAGCAATGAATGATTCACAAATCAGGCAGCCTCCCATGCTGAAGCAGGCTGAGACTCCAGCCCAGCTGCATGGTGGAAGAAGATTTATGGACTGAAAAAGGAAAGTGATGTACAAAAAAACAGAAGTGAGGTACAGAAATAACCAGATTGGTTATAGCTCAGCGTTTGCCTTATTTGAAGACAGTTCAAACCATTGGCCACTTTTGATTGGCCAAAACTCAGTGATTGGCGTAAGAGTAGGCTATGGTCTGTTTATGTCTTGACTTGTTATAGTTCACAGTGTACAGAGAAACCTTTAGGCTAAGCGTAAACTATGTAAGGCCTTAGGCTAAACTTGATTTAACAATTTACACATATTCTATGTCTCAAAAACATAATTGTTGTCTTTATAAAAACAATATTTACTTATATTTACACTGTAGTAAATGCTTATAATTTTATGATGCCTCAGCATCCATTTTGAATGTTTAGCTTTCTCATGCCGGAAACAGGCCTTAGTTACCCTTAATGCACTTTCTAGTTCTATTAGTTCTATACCTCCTCCTAATTTTTCAACGTGGTCTAGCCAGATATCTGCCTTATACAACTACCTCCTAGTGACCACCTCTCTATGGGACAGCTAGATGAAACCTACTTGACTAGCATCCCTGACCTCTGTGCCCTGCATGGACTTCACAGGTATGCTGCCGTGACCACCTCTCAGTCACAGCATGACTTCCTAGAACATGTGCCCGCTTTCTTTCAACTCACCAATTAGAACTCCCCATGGGAAACCTGCTGGGGTCATACTCTGGTCCCTAGTAAAGGCATTGGTTGATGAGACCCTCTCTGCCACCCCCTCGCCTCTCTCTCTCTCTCTTTCTCTCTCTCGTTTCCTCACACTGCCCAACCTCTGTGATCTTCAGGGGTGCTGTGTACCCCCAGGGCATGTAATAAAATCTTTACTTCCATCTTGTGTTTCTCCTAGTCACTGTAAGAGGTTCTCTGTATCTTAAAGATCCTAAATGAAAACATACGCACATATGAGCTCTTTCTGGTGTGTTTCCTTCTTATTACAATTCTATCAATTCCATGTGAAACTATTTTCCTTCAATCTGAAAAAGTCTCTTTGGCAGATTTGTATTGTAGATCTTCTGACAATAAATTCTTTAAACATCTTTCTGGTTCCTTCGAAGGTTATTGTCTATGTTTCCTGGCTGCTTTTAAAATGGATTACACTTTAATATAGATTTTTTACAGTATTACTATTTTGTGTCTAGGTAAGAATTTCTTTGTGTTGCTTGGGTTTGTATAGCCTTTTTTTTTTTTTTTTTTTAACTGACTTTCACTCTTGTTGCCCAGGCTGGAGTGCAATGGTGCAATTTCAGCTCACAGCAACCTCTACCTCCTGGATTCAAGTTATCCTCCCACCTCAGCCTCCCAAGTAGCTGGGATTACAGGCCTGTGCCTGTACACCCAGCTAATTTTTGTACTTTTAGTAGAAGCGGGGTTTCACCATGTTGACTAGGCTGATCTTGAACCCCTGACCTCAGGTCATCTGCCCACCTTGGCCTCCTAAACTGCTTAAATTACAGATATGAGCCACCCCACCCAGCTTGTATAGCCTTCTGAATCTCTAATTTAATGATGTCTTGCATCAGTCTTGGAAAATTTTTAGTTATTACTTCTTCAAATGTTGTTTATGCTCTCTTATCTCTCTCCTCTCATTGAGGGACTTAACTTAAACATGCTAGGCTTTATTCTTCTATGTCTTTAGTCTATGTTTTTTATCTTTTTATTTATTGGTGCTTTGTTCTGAGTATGTTCTTTTGTCCTAGCTTCCGTTCATTGATTTTCTTTAACAGACTCTAAACTGCTATTAATCCCACCCAAATTCTTAATTTCAGTAATCATATTTTACTTTTATAATTCCAGACTTTTATTTTCCAAATCTGTCCTGTTATTTTATTTATTTATTTATTTATTGAAACAGGGTCTCACTCTGTTGCCCAGGTTGGAGCACAGTGGCACAATCACAGCTCACTGCAGCCTCAACCTTCACAGGCTCAGTCAGTTCTCCCACCTCAGCCTTCTGGGTAGCTGGGAATGCAGGTGTGCACAACCACACCTGCACAGCTAGCTAATTGTTTTTTGTTTGTTTGTTTGTTTTGTAGAGACGGGGTTTCGCCATGTTGCCCAGGCTGGTCTCGAACTCCTGAGCTCAAGCGATCCATTCACCTCAGCTTCCCAAAGTGTTAGGATTACAGACATGAGCCACCACCCCCAGCCTGTTCTCTTTATAGTTTCTAGTTCTTACAAGTTTCAATTATATCCTTGAACAGGTCTGTAGTTCTAATGGGTCAGTTTCTGTCATCAGTAATTGTGTGTTATCTTATCTCCAAGTATCTGGTTATCTTTGATTGTGTATCAGAAATTATATTTGAAAATGTGTCTGTAGAAATAATTTCAAAACCTTAGATGACCTATGTTGTTCTGGAGAGAATTTTTGTCATTGTTTCTGCAGGCATCTGGGGACATTAGCAATCTAGGACCACTCTAATTCAATCTCAGGATCTGTGATTTTCCTGGGTCGCCCGCAGAACCAGTACTTGTAGTACCAGTTCCTGTCTCTGAGACAGCAGATTTATTTTCAATTAACCCTGATTACTAGAGCCTACTTTCTTGTGGCCTCAGGACACATCAGAAGGTATTACCAGACCTTCCTTCCACTTTGGACAGGCCTTGGATTTCCATTTTTGTCCCTTAACTTCATGAAGCAATCAAAAGTCTGCTCGGCCTCTCAGTTGCCCCATCCTGATTCAGCTGCTCATTCCCAAACAATAAGCAACCCAGTTTCCCTGCACAAATACCCAGCTCTCAACTGGATTTTCATCTTCTCCTAGATAATGTTCCAGGAATGCTTCACTGGTTAGCTCTTTGATGTCTTAAATATATATATATATATTTAATTCTCCAGTATTTTTAGCCTTTCTTGAGGATGGACGGTTGGAGCAATATTTGATTTGAATTGTTGAGATTGCTATTACTAGACGTAGAGCCTGAAAAATTTTTCTTTTTAATTTTAATGAATTCATTCATTTAAAAATGTATTCAATTAAATTCACTCATTTTTAATTTCAAATGTTTTGGGATTTGGACTGAAATAATTTAATTCTGGTTTATAGCAATACAGTATACGATGTATTACTGCTACATTTTTAATGCATTTGGGGGCTTTTGTGGACTAATAGTTGATAACTTTTACACAGATATCATGTAATGATACCAAACTTAGATTTGATGAAATGAGTTGGTAAGCTTTATATCTTTAATATGTTGTGAAATCTTGAAATTATATTTGGAAATAACTGTCACTTGAAAGTTTGATAGACTGTATCTTTGATTTTTTTCCATTCTTACATGTTTCTTGGTCAATTCTAACTTTCTATATCTTTTTGAATGAATTTTAGTAGTTTATATTTCCATTTCTACGATTTAGATTTTCAAAATATTTAACCCCCAATCCTCTACAGTTTTATAAATATTGTCACATACATAAAAATTTGTTTAAATTCTTTTTCCTACTATATATATTTGTGTTTACTCTCATCCCTTATACTTTATCTATTAGTAAATGTTTTTGTATTTTATTTTTTTTAAAAAAGCTAACCTCAATAACAAAAATGGAAATTAAGAAAGCAAATGAAAAAGAGCAGGAAAAAACTGAATAAACTCTATAATGCTATAATCAAAGAGCTATTTAAAATGAAAAGAATGTGGATTGAATTAATAAATGCATGCAAATGTTACAGAAAATCATATAAGTAAGACAGGCAGGACACATGATATTATACTCACTGAAGTTACAATTTGTAAAAATTTACCTATGTGTTAGCAAAGGTTAAAAGCAAATAATGAATGTAAAAGTAGTTACAGTTTAGTGGCTCATGAGATTTTTGCCATTCACTATTTAAATGCACTGTTATTTAACCTGCTCTTTCTTTCCCCAGTAATTCCCTGTGGGCCACCCCCCACCATCACCAATGGATATTTCATTAGCACCAGCACAGAGGATTTTCACTATGGATCAGTGGTGACCTACCGCTGCAAACCTGGAAGCAGAGGGAGAAATGTGTTTGAACTCGTGGGTGAGCCCTCCATATACTGCACCAGCAATGAGGATCAAGAGGGCGTCTGGAGCGGCCCGGCCCCTCAGTGCATTATACCTAACAAATGCATGCCTCCAAATGTTGAAAATGGAATAATGGTATCTGACAACAGAAGTTTATTTTCCTTAAATGAAGTTGTGGAATTCAGGTGTCAGCCTGGCTTTGTCATGAAAGGTTCCCCCCGTGTGCAATGCCAGCCCCTGAACAAATGGGAGCCAGAGTTACCAAGCTGCTCCAGGGGTGAGTCTGACTGAGGCCTAGAAGGGCCCTGCAAATGACACGAGTTGCTGCTGGATCAGGAGATTAGTATTTATTCAGGGGGAGGGATGTGTCCTGAGCACGGTCGGGGAGCAAATTTTCTAGGTAGTGAACATGAAATTCAGAAGATGTGTGTATATATGCATGTGTGTGTGTACATGCACATGTGCTGAAATTGAGAAGCAAAGCTAAACCTGGGCAAGGAATGTGATGTTTCTTTGGGGTTCTTATAAACAGATCTATCAATTACCTTTGAGTATAATAATTGCTGATTATTATAGGAAATGAGTGAGTTTTCTGGTCAGATACCATAATACAGGCTATGTGTGAATTTTAATTTTTAAACAAAGTTATTAGGTAGTTACCAGTTTTTCTATGTTTGTCTATTTTGTTTTGTTCGAGATAGGGTCTTGATTTGTCACTCAAGTTGGGCAGTGGTGCAATCATGGCTTACTGCAACCTCTACCTCCCTGGCTCAAGCAATTCTCCTGCCTGAGCCTCCCAAATAGCTGGGACTACAGGTGCATGGCGTCACACCTGGCTACGTTTTTTATATTTTTTTTGTAGATACGGAGTCTCACCATGTTTCCCAGGCTGGTCTCAAACTGCTGAACTGAAGCAATCCACCCAATTTGCCCTCCCAATGTGCTGATACTATAGGCATGAGCCACCATGCCCGGCCTCTATGTTCTGCAAAAAATATGTGCCTTAAAGAGATTCGATAAATTTCTAAGATTCTAACTTGCAGACAAAACTGGAATGCAAGTCCGCCTGACTCCAGAGCCTTGGCTTTGCTAATCAGCATCCAGTCAGGAAATCAAAACTTACCCTAGATACTTTCAAGGAGTGAGGGATTTCATGCAGGTGGTATTAGTCTGTTCTCACATTGCTATAAAGAACTACCTGAGACTAGGTAATTTATAAACAAAAGAGGTTTAATTGACTCACAGTTCTGCAGATTGTACAGGAGGCATGGCTGGGGACCCCTCAGGAAACTTATAGTCATGGTAGAAGGCAAAAGGGAAGCAGGCATATCTTCATTGGCTGGCAGGAGAGAGAGAGAGAGCAAATGGGGAGGTGTTGTACACTTTTAAACAAGCAGATATCAATAGAACTCTATCACAAGACAGCACTAGGGCGATGATGCTAAACCATTAGAAACCACCTCCATGATCCAGTCACTTCCCACCAGGCTCCTCCTCCAACAATGGGAATTACAATTTGACACTAGATTTGGGAGGGGACACAGAACCAAACCATATCACAGCTAATAGGTCAGAAAGATGTTAGAAGGGCAGGAAAAGCAATAGAAACAAGGTAGAGTTGCCAGATATCAGGGAGCTACTGTGGCTTCTAGTCTGAAGCACAGGAGCCTGTACTGATGCTGAAATGGTCAGTTCCTGCCACTGAGCAGGTGTCTTCCTGAAAGCTGCTAATGCTGCAGGAGCCACCACTGCTGCCAGAATGCAGCTGATATTGCTGGAGCAAAAGTCATTGTCGTTGCTAGAACTGAAGCTGTGGCTGCTCACTGTAACCATCTATACTGTCACTGCCTGAGCCGCCTCTAGAAGTGGAACGGATTCTGCCACCATCCTGCCTTTTTATTTAGTATATATGCCTCCAATTGACAGAACCTAACCAGAGCCCACCTATCAAGGGAGACAAAGGATTGTAGTTTTAAGGCCTCCATTGCTGGCAGTCAAAAGACAGTGTAGAAGTGTGAGGCCAGGGGCCGATATAAATTTAACCAGCACATCGCCTCAATATTACATCACCAGGCATTGAGTAGTCAAGGGAAACACTGGGTGATGAGCCCTGAAAACTGACATTACAGCATCAGAGTATTTACCAACTCCTTAAAGAAGTCATTTTTCTAGTCCAATCCTCCTCCATTTGATGCTTGAGAAAGCTGAAGTCCAGAAAAGGGAACTGATCTACTCAAAGCCAAACTGAAATTATTTTTTTTCATTTTATAACAGTTTTATATAACTTAGTTGAGACCCAAATGTGTTCTGACTTCCTGAGTTCAGACCAACTATATTAAGAGACAGCCAGAGATGCCATTACCATAAGTTGTGTGAAATATACATTCTCATTACACTGACAGTAGGTCTTTTAGATTTTGTTCAACAATTGCCCACCTTCTTACTGGAGTGAAATGAATGACTAGGCAACATCTTGCTACATAGCATGAAGAGAGGAGACCCATCGTTCTCTACCCCCCTATGTCAGGTGGCCACTGAGGGAGGATGTGAAAGCAGATGAGAATAAGGTGTATGGACGTCATCTCTTGCACCATTTTGATAGGTGATGGAGGGACCTATTACATGAGACATGCGCATGGGCACTGCTTTATTGCCTAAAATGCAAGACTGTACATTGATGATGCCTTTGTAGAAAGGAAGTGTGAAGATATAAAAATCTTTCATACCTCCCAATTTTGTACTAGGTGAACAGTAATTGGAAGCATTCTAGAAGGGACTGTCCATCATGAAATCTTAGGTGCATACTTCAGATGAAAAACAATGACTTGGGGGTATCTCCCTTTTAGTCACAGTTCTGCAAGTGTCAGTTCTATGACTGATGGCAGGACGTCTTCCTCGCTCTGTTTTAGTTTGTTATCAATATAATAAGGCTTTTATTGTACCTTTTTATTACATATAGATTTATAATTATTATTCCCTTGGCCAGTTTATCAGTGTGAAGAAAAAGTTATTTTGACACAATTAGCAGTACTTTGTTTCTCTCTCCCCCAGTATGTCAGCCGCCTCCAGATATCCTGCATGGTGAGCATACCCAAAGGGACAAGGACAACTTTTGGCCTGGCCAGGAGGTGTTGTACAGCTGTGAGCCCGGCTATGATCTCAGAGGGGCTGCTTCTCTGCGCTGCACACCCCAGGGAGACTGGAGCCCTGCAGTCCCCAGATGTGAAGGTGCCTAGACTTGCCTGGCTTGATATTTTTAGCTTGTGTCTTTATTCTCCACAAGCCAGTTATTTCTGTTTGTTTTTCTTTTTCTCCAGTGAAATCCTGCGATGACTCCCTGGACCAACTTCCTAATGGCCGTGTGCTGTTTCCACCTAATCTCCAGCTTGGAGCAAAAGTGGACTTTGTTTGTAATGAAGGGTGAGTATGAGCTTGCCTGACCTGCTGGACATTAAAATTGCGGTTAGGAATTAGTCCAAAAAGGAGAGATTTGTTGTGGCTTAAAAGATGGACTCATACACACACACTCAGAGAGATGAACTTTTGAAAGTATATATAGGAAGAAAGGAGATAAACATATAGAACTAATTACATGAGATATGAAGAGGAAACTGGGCCATACATCTGGCAAGTTCAAAGGCAAACATAACTGCTGTTTATGAATACATAGGTAACATATTAGGGAACATGAGTAATTTAGAGAGTCCCAGAAAAAAAATGTTAAGTAACAAAAAGCATATTTTAAAAAGCTAGGATCATTTAAGAATCATTTCAGCCACGCACGGTGGCTAACGCCTGTAATCCCAGCACTTTGGGAGGCCGAGGTGGGTGAATCACCTGAGGTCAAGCATTCAAGGCCAGCCTGGCTAACATGATGAAACCCCGTCTCTACTAAATATAGAAAATGAATTACCAGGCTTGGTGGCAGGTGCCTGTAATCCCACCTACTTGGGAGGCTGAGGTAGGAGAATCGCTTGAACCAGGGAGGCGGAGGTTGCAGTGAGCCGAGATCATGCCACTGCACTCCAGCCTGGGGGACAGGGCAAGACTCCATTTCAAAGACAAAAATTAATCAATTAATTAATCAATTAATCAATTAATCAATAAAGCATCATTTCAGTAAATTGTTTAAACCATCAGTATTAAAATTTGTAATAGGACTGAACATGTAAAAATAAGCACTTTTTAAAACTTCAGTCACATGTCATCTGGCAAGTCATGGGCTTTGGGCTCTGAGATGGGGTCCTGATGGCTGCTGTTAATATTTCTGGCAAGGTCATTAACTTGTTTATGTTCATCTAGTGGTCTTCACAGGGTGTGCATCTCTACGTGGGAGCTGACCAGCATGAGTAACAAAGCACCTGATCCCAAATTGTTCCACAGAATCTTGGCAGGCTCTAAATGCCGTCACCCAGTAAGATTTAGGAGGGCATCAGGGCCCAACAGACATTAAGAATTTTCAATGATAGCATACAAAAATCATGTCCTCTCTTCTTTCCTTTTTCCCCTAGAATATTCACATTTACTCTTCAGCAGCTCAAACTGCTGTTGTGAGCCTTCTTCATGCCATCACAGATGTGGAGACAAAAGGACAATTTCTGTTCTCTCGCCAACTCTTTCGCACTTTTCCAGTCCAAACTGGAAGCTGTTTTGCTTGCTGTTTCCGGGTCAGAGTCAGGAAGGCGTTGCATTAAGGACTAGGTTTCTAATAATGACAATGAGTGATTTATCAGGTTATCATGGAGTAATCAGTGAAACTCCAAGCCTGGGTCCAGGGTCAAGGGGATGGCGGCTATGTCGTGACCACCTTCTTGAATTCAAGCAGGACTATCTTGTGACCAAGGTCCTGTATTTTGTCATTCTATATTGCTCCCTTCTGGATGCCGTTATTTTTCCAGAATAATGTAGCCTCTGCAACTCTGCCACCTGCTGGCCTCAGGTCCTCAAAATCCTGAGATTTGGGGCGGGGCCTTAGATTGTGAACTAAGTGACTGGTCTCTTGGCTGAAACAGCTCACTATTCACTATTTTCTTCCTTAGATTTCAATTAAAAGGCAGCTCTGCTAGTTATTGCGTCTTGGCTGGAATGGAAAGCCTTTGGAATAGCAGTGTTCCAGTGTGTGAACGTGAGTAATAGGAGTAACATTTCAGGACAATCTCTCCCCTTTATCTCCTCGGTATTTGACCCATGGCCTCCCCTAATGTGGTTCTTCAATTTTCTAGTCTGAATTATTGATTTGAAAATTGCTTATTTTAATAATATTTTGTTGTGAATTAATGTGTACATCACCTGTCTTTGGAACCATCTGATCTGTCTCTGTCCTTTAGTATCCTGTGTTCTATTGTGATAAATCCTATGGTAGTGTGTTTCTAGGTCAGGAGAGATTAGATAATGCGAAGCTTTAACAATTTGCTTTCTTTCTCTCTTTCTTTCTTTTCTTTCTTCTTTTTCTTCCTTCAGTTCATTTTTCCCTTCTTCTCTCCTTCTCCCTTCCTTCCTTCCTTCCCTCCTTTCTTTTTATTTTGTTCTCCCATCAAGCTACAGTCAGGCTGCAATTTTTGTATCTGTTATTTGATAATACGCAAATATCAAACATGCCTTTATTTAATCAATATTTATTGATCACATACTTTGTGCCAGATGTTCATCTAGCCACTTGACTTCTAGCAATGAACAAGACGAGTGAATTCCCTGTCCCCATGTTATTTTTACTCAGGTGGGGAGAGGGACAAGAAAAAAAATAAATTAAATGCTATGAAGATAATAGATCAAAGCAATGAGGAATTAGGGAAAGGTGGGGAGTAACATAAGACAGGGTGAGCAGTTTGAGACTCCTTAAATTCTCAAAATGTGCACCTAAATAATTTAGAGAGATTCATAAATAATAAATCCGTTTTTAAAAAATGAGCCTCATATGTTTAGTAATCAGTAGACTGCTAATTTCTCCTAGTCTACCCATTTATAATTTCCCCAATAGAAGATAGAACTTTGCTTTATTTCTTGATTCTAAAGACTGGAAAGTATGTTTCTTAAAAAAAAAAAAAAAACATGAAATTTTACTAAAATGTTTATGTTGTTAGAAATCTACCCGGACATCTTACAGTGCTTTTTAGAATAAAATTGTATAAGAACATAATTTATATAGTGATTCTTGGCTGTCTAACAAATCCAATGCTCCTTGAAGCAACATAAAAAATACCTGTTCTACTGTCCTGCATGAAGGCTCAGTTATTGATTCGACTACTCAGGCTTTCTCTTATTTTTCACAACCTTTGCTAGTTGAAGTAGCTTCTTCCAAATTCCAATTCTAATGAAAAATGCCAATTAGAAATGAGGAAGAGACTGTTCTAAACAAATCAGCAGATGCGAGAAAGGAGTAACTGGAAACCTGACCCAGAAAGTAAAGAGAAAATAAATCATCAACAGACCTAGACAGTTTAAAAAACAAAGCAATCTGAATCCATTTGGAGTTTTTAACAATGGCCTGACTACATTTCAATTCACTGTGACAATGCTATTGTTATCACTGGGACTGATGAGCAATATCAGTAAGTAATCAATGAAAGGTTTCATCTATGTAAGGTGGTTAGCACACATATATACATTTGAGAAATATTTCACAAGAACGTAGGCTCCTTCATCAGCACTCTGTCCCCAGGATCCTCATGAGCGGCTGACACAGGATAAGTGCTCAGTTAATATATGTTGACTAAGCGAATGAGTTACTCTCGAAAATGGCTATTTTTCTCTTCAAATGTTTTGATACTTCATTAAAGTTGTAAAGTTTCTATTGTCCAGGAACTGTTACTATCTGGAAGATTCAGGATAGACAAATCTCTTTTGTACTTTACAATACACTTTCACTGACATCTCATTTAATCCAACTCTTCGAAGTCCTAATGTCTACTGTTATCTCCTTAGCATATTTTTAATAAAAACAATCATAGCACCTTATAATTGCAGAATACCTCTGGTGAAACTCCTGAATAAAACCTAGAGCTTTTGCCTTTTTTCCAGAAATCTTTTGTCCAAGCCCTCCAGTTATCCCTAACGGGAGACATACAGGAAAACCTCTGGAAGTCTTTCCCTTTGGAAAAGCAGTAAATTACACATGTGACCCCGACCCAGTCAGCGGGAAGACCTTTGACCTTGTTGGGGAGAGCACCATCTACTGCACAAGTGACCCCCAAGGAAATGGGATTTGGAGCAGCCCTGCCCCTCGCTGTGGAATTCTGGGTTAGTGCTCATTTCCCTACATCCCAAATGGATTCAGAATATCTTAACCAGGCCCTCCATATTTCCATAGTTACAGGGTGGTATTTATTTGTGCCTTTGCCACAATGGAATGCCAAACCAATGATAAATTGTTCTAAGATAGGGGAACACATAAGATCCTGACAACCTTTGCAGCTGGAGGGGCTGGTGAAAAAAGAGGGAAGCGGTAAGTGGTGAGAAAATTTTTCATTAGAATCATAGGTATTAAAAACAAATGCCTGTGAATGTCCTTATTGAAATGTCTGGCTCAGAAATCTGACCTAGAAAATCGGTGGCTCCTTCTGCCAGGAAATGTCTTGAGCTCTCCCACCCCATGCTTGTCAGCCTCTCACTGGAGTTTTGATGCCTTGAAGTCAAGGAAACCAGTCAGCAAAGGTGTAACCTGGGCATAGACACTTCTTATGTCTTCCTAAAATTGTGAAAAATTAATCGGAGCTATCTGTACCTTAAGTTATATGAGCATTAGCCAACTGAGGTGGCAGTTGCCTGTGATTGCAGCTACTCAGGAGGCTGAGATGGGAGGATCACTTAAGCCTGGGAGGCAGAGGTTTCAGTGAGCCAAGATTGTGCCACTGCACTTCAGCCTGGGTCACAGAGTGAGAACCTGTCTCAAAAATGAAAAACAAAAATAGGCTGGCCACAGTGGCTCACACCTGTAATCCCAGAATTTTGGCAGGCTGAGGTGGGTGGATCACTTGAGGTCAGGAGCTTGAGGCCAGCCTGCCAACACGGTGCAACTCCAACTCTACTAAAAATAGAAAAATAAATAAATAAATAAAAATAAATAAATAAATTATATGAGTAGGAAGACCAGATAGCAGACTAGCCTTCCAGATAATATATTGCCTTATAAGCCTATGCTGATAAAACTTTCCCTTCCAACATTACTGGGAAGTTTTTTTCTTTTTGTTCAAAACTGATTTTCTTTTCTTCTGGCATCAAATCTAACAGGGAAGAGAAAAGAGGAAACACATTGGATATCTTTTTATTAACTCAGATGTTCTCGATATCTTGGTCTCTAGGTCACTGTAAAGCCCCAGATCATTTTCTGTTTGCTAAACTGAAAACCCAAACCGATGCATCTGACTTTCCCATTGGGACATCTTTAAAGTACGAATGCCGTCCTGAGTATTACGGGATGCCATTCTCTATCACATGTCTAGATAACCTGGCCTGGTCAAGTCCCAAAAATGTCTGCAAACGTGAGTAACTTACATTGGATCTTTCCCATGTCTGCCAAAGCTTCTTACTGAATTTTTTCAAATGTGGGATATGAGAAACCTTTTTTCAAAAGTGTTCAGGTAGGTAGATGTAAGAGTTATTCTTGTAGGTCATCCTTGATTATTGTTTGAAATGCTTACTTCGTGAGAATGTTTCAAGAAATATCTATAAAGAAAATATTCCCTATGGGAAAGTAAATAATAAATGACTGTAGATCAGGGGGAAAATTGTGTAGGAAGACAAATTCTGTTTGAATACTAGGTGGCAAAAAAATCCTCTGAAAACTTTGAAATATATTGGTGGTACATAATGCCATAAATGACTTTTACATTTTGATAGAGGATGCAAGGTCTCTACATAGATCTAAATCTAGATCTAGATAGATCTGGAGGGAAGGTCTTTTTGAAAGTGGAGCTTAGTAGTTGGCTAATCCTGAGGCACTCTGATGAGCTTTCTCAAGGTGGGAATATCTGTAGAACCATCAAAACTACGTATTTTCTTCAGGAAGGTACATGCATGTTGATACCTTATGTACTGAAGAGAGTTCAGATTACCTGGCTCCGAAATACTTTCTTTCCCATAGGTAAATCATGTAAAACTCCTTCAGATCCAAAGAATGGCGTGGTGCATGTGATCACAAACATCCAGCTTGGATCCAGAATCAACTATTCTTGTATTACAGGGTGAGTTGGCAGCAACATCTCTTGGTTCAAGAGTTCTGGCATAGCCATACACCTTCTAGCCACATCTCAGGAAGGAAACTAGGCTATTGCACCCTGCTCTTAAGAGGCTTGAACACAGATGTTAATGCCTGATTGAAATGCACATATAAAGAGTATGGCATTCACTGGATGGGAAGGGAAATAAATTAGGAAAGAGTATAGTACTCAAAGCACACAAACAACGCCAGCCCAGGGTAGACATTGCTGGAAGAAAGAGAAGGCCATATAGCATCTGTGTGAGAAAACAAATCTTACTGGTAACAGCATAATTGCTTTCTAGGGCTGCCATCACCAAGTACAGGTGTTTCTCATTTTATTGCGCTTCGCAGATGTTTGCTTTTTACAATCAAAGGCTTGTGCCAACCCTGTGACAAGCACGTCTGTCGGCATCATTTTTCCAACAACATGTGTTCACTTTGTGTCTCTCAATATCCCAAACTTCTCACAATATCCCAGACTTTTTCATTATTATCATGTCTGTGACAGTGATCTGTGATCAGGGATCTTTGGTGTGACTATTGTCATTGTTTGGGGTCACTAGGAAATGCACCCATATAAGACACAAAATTTAATAAATGTGCATGCTTTGACTGCTCCATAAGCTAGACACTCCCCTTCTCTCTCCCTGTCTTCAGGACTCCCTAATTCCTGAGACACAGTAATACTAAAACTAGGACGATTACTAGCCCCACAATGGCCTTTAAGTGTTCACATGAAGGGAGGAGTCATGCATCTCTTACTTTAAATCAAAAGCTAGAGATGATGAAGCCTAGTGAGGAAAATACGTTGAAAGCCAAGATAGGCCAAAAGCCAGGCCTCGTGCGCCAAACAGCTAGTGAGTTGTAAAGGCAAAGCAAAAGTACTTCAGGAAATTTAAAGTGATATTCCAGTGAACACATGAATGATAAGACGGTGAAACAGCCTTATTGCTAATGCAGAAGTTTTAGCGGTCAGATAGAAGATCAAAACAGACACATTTCCTTAAGTCAAAGCCTAATCCTGAGCAAGGCCCTGACTCTCTTCAACTCAGTGAAAACTGACAGAGGTAGGAAGCTGCAGAAAAAAAAAAAAAAAAGCTGGAAGCTAGCAGAGTTTGGTTCCCGAGGTTTAAGGAAAGAAGGCATCTCCATAACATAAAGGTGCAAGGTGAAGCAAGAAGTGCTGATGTCGAAGCCACACAATTTATCTAGAAGATCTAACTAAGATCATTGATGAAGGTGTTACACTAACTAGCAGATTTTCCATGTAGACAAAAGAGCTATCAATTGGACTTTCATAGTTAGAGATGACCAATCAATGCCTGGCTTCAAGGCATTAAAGGATAGGCTGACTTTTCAGGAGCTAATACTGTTGGTGATTTTGAGTTGAAGCCAATGCTCACTGACCATTCTAAAAATCCTAGAGCCCTTACGAATTATGCTAAATGTGCCTTGCCTGTACTTTATAAATGGAACAACAAAGCCTGATGACAGAGGTATGTTTGCAGCGTGGCTTACTGATTATTTTAAGCCCACAGTTGTGCTCTAGTGCTCAGAAAAACAGATTCCTTTCAAAATACTATTGCTCATTGACATTGCACCTCATCAGCCAAGACCTCTGATGGAGATGGACAAGGAGATGAGTGTAGTTTTCCTGCCTGATGACAGCAGCAGCTATTCTGCAGTCCATGGCTGAAGTAGTAATTTTGACTTCCAAGTTTCAGTATTTAAGAAATACATTTTGTAAGGCTATAGTTCCCACAGACAGTAATTCCTCTGATGGATCTGAACAAAGTAAGTTGAAAACTGCAGGAAAGAATTCATCATTCTACATACCATTAACAACATTCATGATTCATGGGAAGAGATTAAAATATCAACATTAACAGGAGTTTGGTAGAAGTTGATTCCAATCTTCACGGATAGCTTTGCGAGGTTCAAACTTCAGTGGAGAAAATAACTGCAGACGTGGTGGAAATAGCAAGAGAACTACAATTAGAAGTGGAGTCTGAAGATGTGACTGAATTGCTACAATCTCATGATCCAACTTGAACAGATGAGGAGTTGCTTCTTATGAATGAGCAGAGAAACTGGTTTTTTTGAGATGGAGTCTCTTCGTGGTGAAGATGATGTGAGCATTGTTTAAAATGACCACAAACAATTTAAAATATGACATAAACTTAGTTGATAAAGCAGCAGTAGTATCTGGGAGGATTGACTCCAATTGTGAAAGCAGTTCGAGGGTAAAATGTTATCAAACAGCATTGCATGCTAGAAAAATCTTTTGTGAAAGGAAGAGTCAATCAATAGGCAAGTTTTATTGTTGTCTTAGCTTAAGAAATTGCCACAGCCACCCCAGCCTTCAGCAACCACCACCATGATCAGTCAGCAGCCATCAACCTTGAGGCAAGACCCTCCACCAGCCAAAAGATGATGACTTATTGAAGGTCAGATAATCTTTAGCATTTTTTATCAATAAACCATTTTTTAAATAGACATAACGCTATTTCACACTTAATAGACTACAGTAGAGTATGAAAACAACTTTTAGACTCACTGAGAAATCAAAAAGTTCATATGACTCGTTTGTTGTCCTATTTGTTTTATTGTGGTGGTCTGGAGCTGAACCTGCAATACCTTTGAGGTATGTCTGTAACATAAAATGGCTGGCTTAATACAAAAGAAGTTTTTGGAGTTCTGTTCTGGAGGCTGGAAGTCCAAAATCAAGGTGTTGGCAGGGACATGCTCCCTCTGAATCCTGTAGGGGAGGATCCTTCATTGCATCTTCCAGCGTCTGGAACCCCAGAGCTTCCTTGGCGTGTTGCAACAGAACTCCAATTTCTGTCTCTGTCCTCACGTGGCCTTCTTCCCTCTGGGTCCGTGTCCTCACACGTGGTTCTCCTCTCTGTGCATGTGTGTGTCCAAAGTCCTCTCTTTTGATAAGAATGTTAGTCATATTAGGGCCTACCTTAATGGCCTCCTCTTAACTTGACTAGATCTGCAGATTGTATTTCCAAATAAGATCACATCCACTGGGACTAGGGGTTAAGACTTCAACATATTTGGGAGAGACACAATTCAACCGATAACAGAGCCCCTTTGAAAATGTCAAACGTCAAGTGCTCATGGCACACTGTCCAGCTGTTGGTGCTCACCTTTCCCCAGCACACAGTGGAGGCTCTGCCTCAATCTCACTCTTCATGGGAACAGCTAAGCCAGGTAGTGAGTAGGGGCTACGTTTGTGCCACTGCAACAGACACTGCAAGGCAGCTTGGGATGCCCAGCAGCATATTTGCCAGACTCGGCCTCACAGACCATAGCACCTAGAATCTAACAAGGTAAAATTAAAATAAATCTGACTTCTTTTCTTTTTCTTTTTTTTTTTTTTTTGAGCATTTCAAAAATACGATTGACAAATTTCCTGACTGTACCCTCCTCATCTTGCATTGCTGAATAAGTGCGAACCTCTCTATGGTATACAGCAGAAAATCACTGAGCTTATGACAAGAAACAGGAATACATGCAAAAGAAACCAAGTTGAAAAATCAGGAGAAATTTCCCCCTACAAAAGAGATTTACTGCCAAGAAACCAGGGAAACTTTCAGAACACTCTCCTTTTCTTATTTTTTAAAAAGATTCAGTTGTACAAATACTTCTGTGAAACTAGCAAGGAAGTTTGTACATGAATGAATATATGTTTTCAGTGTGTTTATATATTTGATTTCATGCATGTGTCATATATGTGTATATATATATATATATATAGCAAACACACTGAATATTGCAGAAAATTAAAGCAAAGAGAAGAGTTAACCAAATTTTCCTGAATGCAGTGGGAAAAGATGAAAAAGACAGACTGGCAGGCACAGTGGCTCATGCCTTCAATCCCAACACTTCGAGAGGTCGAGGCAAGAGGACCACTTGAGCCCAGGAGCGTGAGACCATCCTAAGCAACAAGGCAAAATCCCATGTCTACAAAAAAGTATATAAATTAGTTGGGCATGGTGGCACGCACCTGTAGTCACAGCTATGCAGGAGAGTGAGGTGGAAGGATCACCTGAGCCCAGGCTGCTGAGGCTTCAGTGAGCTGTGATGGCACCCCTGCACTCCAGCCTGGATGACAGAATGAGACCCTATCTCAAAAAAAGAAAGAAGACATATGTAAGACAATGTTAGGATTCAAAATAAACGTAACAAAAATTCCAAAAGGATAAACAAATAAGCCCATACCTAGCCATCACTAGGGAAATTTCTCTGTTTCAGGGATAGACAAAAAAACTCTGTTTCCAGAAATAAAATGTGAAAATATGATACCCACAAAAGAAATAAATTTATTGGCACCACCTTGATTCTACACAACACTAAATTGTATAAGATAGCAGTTCTATTGAGTCAAGCTAATATTCACACCTAGAGGCTCCAGATGCACATTAAAGGATAAGCAAAGACATAAAAATTATAACATTTAAGTATGTTTCCCAGGCAATTCATAAGCGAATTTTTAAAAAGGAGAATGATGAATTCCAAGAGAAATATCAATGAGATCGAGAATGGATAAAAACGAACCACAACAACAAAAAAAATAAAACCATACACACAGAAACTTGGCAATGCAATCGTAATTTAGTAATAATCTGTCTAAAATCACAAAACATATCAATAAAACTGGAAAATGTGAGAAACAAGAAAAAGTAGGCCAGACTTACATTTCAGAAAAGATGAGTAGGCTGGCTATACAGAGTTTGACTCTAAAAGTGAGAAAATAGGTTTAAATATATGCCATGTATATATGTATAATATACATGCACACATATAAAATGAGATTCCTCATTGGAAAAATATTGTTTAATTTCCAAATGATTCGAATAACTAAAACAGCTGAATCTGTCTGTTCCATATAGCAAGTGAGAGGAAAGGAAAAGGAATAGCAAGGAATGCATTTGTCTCTTCCACCGAAAAGAAGCCCCCTCAGGTTTGGGTCAGGTCATTTTATTCATTGCTTTCTCCTCATCCTCATCATTGGACATCATGAAATCAATGAAAAAGGTAGTGAACGAATGATGCCAAAAGCCAATCAAATGTATCATTTATCTCAATACATTTGGCTTAATCTTCTTGTTGAAAGACAAAGTCTCCTAGAAAGGATCAAAAGCAACAAATCTTGTATTTATAAAAAAAGACATCTCAAGTAAAATGACATAGGATTATTATACACACACATCAAGGGAAAATGCAAACAAAAAATGGCAGAAATGATGTGAGAAAAGATAGAATTTAAGAAAAAAAAAAGTCAAACAGGTCTACAAAATAATTGTGTTATTTTGGTGCCAGGTAGAGCCCACAATGAAGCAAGATATTAAGAAGCAAAGTGGGCCAGGAGAAGTTAGAGCAGAAATGTCTCTTACAATAGTGAGAGAACAGGAAAGAGAAGTGAGAAAAGCTGGGATCATACTTGAAGTTTCAGCTGGGCCGTAGACTTCTCTGCATTGTGATCCTTCTGGTTTGCCACATGTACATGCTGTGAGGAAGCTGATGAGGTGTGCACGGCACAATTATGTTCCATTTTTTGCCTTTAGGTACCGCCTCATTGGTCGGTCATCTGCTGAATGTATCATCTCAGGCAATACTGCCCACTGGAGCACAAAGCCACCAATTTGTCAACGTGAGTTGAAATCTTTTCCCCCATTCAACCCATCATTTAATCCTAGCATGGCCTTCCTAGAATTATAAAGAATGAATCTCATCCCTCTTGAAATGGTGTCCTTTTGATATTTGAAGAATGCAGTCATATCCCAGTGATATCCTTAAAACGGCTCACAGCATTCCCTTCCACCTTCATCTAGAAATGCTTTTTTCTTTCCCTTATCTTAAGGGGTAATTTATTTTAAACTAGTCTTGAGCTCATTTAAACAGCCCCCAATTTCCTCTTCCCAGTTTGAAGAGCATTTTCTTTAGTGAAGTCAACAAATACAAACTTGATGAAAGAAACCCTATATCCTCTCTGCAGGCTCTTAGTATCACATCATCTATTCAAGCAATGCAGCCCTTTCTTCTTTTTTATCATTTGTCTAAACAGGTGCATGCCATCTTCCCTGTCAGTTGTTTGGAAGATGAGCTTCCTAGATTCTGGGGAGCAAAGAGGAAAGCGCAATTGCAAGCTAACAAGGAATATAAAATGGATATAATCCTGGGTTTGGTTATGGTTTGAGGAAATAAGCAATTCAGAACACAACTGATGGGAGCACAAGTGAACGCAAACTTTGTGGAAGGCCGGTCTGGCTGGGCACTGTTTTAATGTAGAGTAGGACACAGTATTCAATTTTTCCAAGATCAGACAAGACTGGGGAATTCAGGGTGGTATAGCTGTAGATCAGTATTCAGTTCTTTTTATTACTTCTGAATCTGCAAGTATTGTGTTTATTACATGTAATATTGTATACTTGTGCTTTGTGTAATATTACATATTTTTGCTTTGTCTTTATTCGTTCTGCCAGAGCTTTTTGTTATTTAATAAAGATGCTATCCTGGGCAAGGTATGGTGGCTCATACTGTAATCCCAGCACTTTGGGAGGCCTAGGTGGACAGATCAATTGAGCTCAGGAATTCAAGACCAGCCTATACGACATGGTGAAACCCTGTCTCTACAAAAATACAAAGATCAAACAGGCATGGTGGCACATGCCTATAGTCAAAACTACTCAGGGGGTTGAGAGGTGGGAGGATTTCTTGAAGCAGAGAGATCAAGGCTGCAATGAGACATGATTGTGCCACTGCACTCCAGCCTGGGCAGCAGGGCAAGACCCTGTCTCAAAAAAAAAAAATGCTATGCTATATGCTTTATTATATTAATAACCAATAGAATAAAGCCAAATGCCTTCTATAGAGAGAGAGAACTAAATTAACAATGGTGAGATAACGTAGCTAAATTCTCATTTAGCAGGAGAAATATAAACATATACTATAGGCCAGGTACAGTGGCTCACACCTGTAGTCCCAGCATATTGGGAGGCCGAGGCAGGCAGGTCACTTGAGGTCAGGAGTTCGAGACTAGCCTGGCCAACATGGTGAAACCTGTCTCCACAAAAAGTACAAAAGTTAGCCCAATGTGGTGGAGCATGCCTATAATTCCAGCTAGTCAGGAGGCTGAGGCAGGGGAATCTCTTGAACCTGGAAGGCAGGGGTTGCAGTGAGCCAAGATCACGCCACTGCACTACAGCCTGGGTGACAGAGTGAGACTCTGTTCTCAAAAAAAAAAAAAAAAAAAGTGGACTATAATAATATATGGACACATTTAGTCAAGTAATGTTAACTGAGAAGAGCAGAACTCACAATATTATAAAACTGTAAGAATATGTCTATACATTAGCAAATATTAGATGAGAATAATATCGTGAATATTTACTTCTGGTAATTTTGGATTTTAAAAAAACTGTTAGCAAAATTTACACTAAACTATAATTTCAAGAAACCAGGCCAGGGGTGGTGGCTCTCACCTGTAATCCCAGCATTTTGAAAGGCTGAGGCAGGCAGATTGCTTGAGGCCAGGAGTTCAAGACTAGCCTGGCCAAGCCCTATCTCTAATAAAAATGCAAAAATTAATCAGACATGGTGGTGCATGGCTATAATCCAGCTACTCGGGAGACTGAGGTGGGAGGATTGTTTGACCAGGAAAGCGAAGGTTGCAGTGAGCCGTGATCCTGCCACAGCACTCAAGGCTCTGTCCCAAAGTTCTTGTTTTGGTTAACTTGCTGTCTCTCTTCCCAGAAATTCCTTGTCGGCCGCCCCCCGCCATCGCCAATGGATATTTCACTAGCACCAACAGGGAGATTTTTCACTATGGATCAGTGGTGACCTACCACTGCAATCCTGGAAGCAGAGGGAGAAATCTGTTTCAGCTCGTGGGTGAGCGCTCCATACACTGCACCAGCAATGAGGATCAAGAGGGCGTCTGGAGCGGCCCGGCCCCTCAGTGCATTATACCTAACAAATGCATGCCTCCAAATGTTGAAAATGGAATAATGGTATCTGACAACAGAAGTTTATTTTCCTTAAATGAATTTGTGGAGTTCAGGTGTCAGCCTGGCTTTGTCATGAAAGGTTCCCCCCGTGTGCAATGCCAGCCCCTGAACAAATGGAAGCCAGAGTTACCAAGCTGCTCCAGGGGTGAGTCTGACTGAGGCCTAGAAGGGCTCTGCAAATGACATGAGTTGCTGTTGGATCAGGAGATTAGTATTTGTTCAGAGGGAGGGATGTGTGGTGAGCAGTGTGGGAAAGCAAGTTTGGGAAAAGGAAGCATGAAATTAAGAATCAGGGTGTCATGCACCCATGCATATGTGTCTTCACTGTGAAAAGCAAGACCTTAATTAGCCAAGAAAAAAGATTTTGGACCCACCTCTTCATCAGTTATCAGGGCAAAGTACCAGCTGTACTATCTCTCAATTATATTGAAAAATCGTATGGGCTTTCTTTATGGTCAGCTGTGCACGAAGCACTTTATATATTTTTTCTCATTTATTATTTATAATACTTTGAAATTGTACTGTTGCAATATCCATTTAAGAGTGAAGTCAGCTTGGCCTTTCAGAGGTTAGGTAAATTGGCCAAGTCACATGCTCTAGCTGAGACACCCAAGATTTTAAAAGGCAAGGGTCTCAGACCCCAGAGGCTGAATGCTCTAGCTCTTGCCATACTTCTATCAGCAACCATTGGTGACCGAAAGAGACTGCCTTATGACAGAAAGCATGGCATCAGAATAGAGACAAAGACTTTAGAGTTTGTCTATAATGATCTGCCTCCTACATTTTATTTTGTTATTTTATTTTATTAAAAACCTATTTATTAGGGTTGAGGTCCGTCTCTGTTGCCCAGGCTGATCAATGATACAGTGATACAGTCATGGCTCTCTGCAGCCTCAAACTCCTGGGCTCAAGCCATCCACCTCCTATATTTTATCCCCAGGAATCTAAGAGTGAAAATAACTTGCTCAAAGCCAGTTAAATAACGATTTTTAAATTCATCTTGAATGAGGTACAGATTAGGTTGATGTTAAGTGGGTTCTGATGCCCTAAGCATGGACGAACAGGACTGTAAATAAAGGCAGACGTTGAGTCAAACACTCTCCAAATAATATGTCCTCTCATGACAAAGAGCTGGCTTATTTAAGGGCTTTTGTTTTTGGTAGCTCATCTTGTCTACTGGTGTCACAATAGCTGGTTTAGCAGTGGAGTGGGAGGTGTAATGGTTGACACATAGGGACAGAGAAGAAGCTTACAGTTCTTCTACCAACCCCTGTTAGCCTTGTGCAACCACTGAGCTGGGAAGACGAACAGATAAAAACATACAAAGTTGGATGTATTGAGGTAGGAGATGGGCAGGGCTTGTCTTGTGTTCACAATCCTGCTGACCAAAACAGGATCTGGCTTAGACAGGATGCAGTGAAAAATCAGCAGGAACCAGCTGATGGCAACAAAAGCAATCCCTAGCAGGAACCAGCAGATGGCGATGAAAGCAATCCCCAGCTGCCCTCACGTTCCCATCAGCACCATGACAGTTTACAAATGCCATGGCAATGACCTGGAAGTTACCGCCCCTTTCCTGGAAAGTTCTAAATAACTCACCCTTAATTTGCATTGATCACTCCTTAATTTACATGTAATTGAAGCAGGTTTACAGGAGTATGAATACAATTGCCTGCTAGGAGCCTGTATGTTGCTGACTCTGGTCACACTGCCTGTGAGTTAGCCGTGCTCTGCAAGGGGCAGTCTCTTTCACCAAAAGGTTTCTATCTAGCACCACTGGCTCATCTTTGAATTCTTTCCTGGGTGAGGCAAGAATCCTTCCAGAATAAGCCCCAATTTGGGGGCTTGCCTGTCCTGAAACAGTATGACTGTACTTTAGTCATAGGTGTGCAATCAGAGAAATGGGGGGGAAGTCTGTAAAACAGGCTTGGGCTCAGGTGACAGTCTCATTACCTGAATAACGGGTGAAAACTGGGGTTGCCTTCCTAGGAAGCATGTAGATGGAGAATCCACCAATACTAACAACTCCACACCAGATAACAAGAGCTAGGAGAAAAAACCTCATGCCCTGTAGATTTACAAGTGGATTTGAGGTCTTGTGCTAGGGAGAATTGGGTTCTATTTCTCTACCTTTGACTAGTTATAAGGGCTTCAGCAAGCATAAGCTATAGCAAAGGAAATTCCCCCATAACTAACAAGTATTCTGGAACTGTCCTTTCCACAGTGTGTCAGCCACCTCCAGAAATTCTGCATGGTGAGCATACCCAAAGCAATCAGGTCAACTTTTCACCTGGGCAGGAAGTATTCTACAGCTGTGAGCCCGGCTATGAACTCAGAGGGGCTGCTTCTCTGCGCTGCACACCTCAGGGAGACTGGAGCCCTGAAGACCCCAGATGTGCAGGTGCCTTGACTCTCTGGCTTCTAGATTGCTCTCTGTAACCCTCACATGGAGGTCTTACTCCTATTTTTTTTCATTCTAGTGAAATCCTGTGATGACTTCTTGGATCAACTCCCTCATGGCCATGTGCTGCTTCCACTTAATCTCCAGCTTGGGGCAAAAGTGTCCTTTATTTGTGATGAAGGGTGAGTGTGACCCAGAATTAAGATCAGCGACTCAGCTCTGGAGAGTGACTCTTGAGCTCAAGGATCAATCCAAAAAGAGGGCTGACCTAGGAAAATAAGAACGCAGGGAGATTAACTTCTGGAAGTGTGATTTTAAAAAAAGGTAGGGGCTAAGTGGCAGTACTATCGGGAGATAAAGAGATAAAGAAAAAATGGTGCATACAACTCAACTCAGTGTCCAGTACAAACAGAAATACAGCCGGCAGTCCAGAAAAGGAGATTGACCTAGCGCAAAGAAGTACTGGAGGAGAATAACATCTGAAACAATGACTGGGAAGTGCAGTATGAACCAGATGGATCCATGAACAGAGGTTTAAAAAGGAAAAAGCTCAACTTATTTGATTTCTCACTGATAGAGGCTCAGAAATCAAATCATTTTGGAAAACATGCAGCTTCCAGTGAGGGACAAAGCAGAAACAAGAACAGAAATACAACAGATCTTGGGAAAAAAAGTATATATATACATATATGTATATGTGTGTGTGTGTGTGTGTGTGTGTGTATGGGACGTTAGATGTATGAACAAATAATAAATTGCATACATGAAGAGATAAATATTCTAAGGATTTGTTAAGAAAAGTTTGTCATATAACAGAAAGTTGTGTATAAGATAAATAACATGCAAAGATTATTTCACAAAACTTTTAAACAAATAAATAGTGGAATTTGTAGTAAGAATGAAAGAGTAAGTTAAAATATTTTAAAATCCAGTTTCAATACGATTGACAGATTTGCCAGCTGTTACTGCTTTGTCCTCACTGAAAGCTACGCTTTCTCCAACATGATTTGTCTTCTGAGCCTGTCAGTGAGAAACCAAGTGAACTGAGTGTTTTTACCTGTGCTTTAGCTGAGCAGTGAAATGTTAATTAAGTTTGGAATTCTCAGGGAGGAGGCTGAGATCTGTCAATGAAGAGAAGAGAGAAATGGTGCATTCATCCAGACGCTACTGCTTTGTTCTTTAGGTTTCGCTTGAAAGGCAGTTCCGTTAGTCATTGTGTCTTGGTTGGAATAAGAAGCCTTTGGAGTGACAGTGTTCCTGTGTGTGAACGTGAGTAGATTAAATACTTCTTCAGTCTGGATCTTTCTCTTTGATTTTTCTGAATGTGGTTTGCCCCATGAGATGATCTATTGTTTGTCCCGCTATTTATGTCCATTTTTAATAGGAATTGTTTTTTGTTGGAATAGATACAAGCAATGTTTTGGGGGAAAATATACCTAAGCATCATGTGGTTTTGGGTAACATTCTATAAATATTGATGAGGAGAGTCTGTGCTACAGATAGAGAGAAATTCTTCATAGAAATAATGTACAGCAAGATGCTATGCTAAATTTTTCTCCTCTTTCCTGTCAGAAGTAATAGTCACACTTCAAATTTTCAGTTCTTCCCTCAGTTATCCACTTAGTCATCTACTCATTCTTTCAACACAAAATTATTTGAGCACCTATTAGTGCCAAGCAATCTTCTGGGAACTGGGAATATGCCTATAAACAAGACAGATAAGTCCATGTTTATATTTTTGTGCAAGAATAAAGACAAAATAAAACAAGAACATGAATAGAAATGTTCAAACAATACTAAGTGTTATTAAGAAAATGCTCTTAATTGATTCAGTGCTCTCAGTTGAGAAAGTAGCTGAGGACCCCAAAGGGAAGTGCACCTCTACTTGGTGTAGCTGAGGGTTCAAACTGGAAGGCTTTTGCAGCAATTTAATCAGAGATGTTGGCCCAGGAGAGCCGTTGGGAAAGGTGATGATGAGAAGTGATCAAATTCTGGATATATTTTCAAGGTGCAGATGACAGGATTTGCTGATGGTTTGCTTATGTGAGAGAAAGAGAAGAATCATAGACAGTTTCCAGGTTTTTGGCCAGATCGACTGAGGGGGTAGAATTTCCCTTAGCTGAAATGCAGGGGACTGCATGAAGTATGGGAATGGGGGAAATCAAAAGTTAAGCTTAGAACATAAGTTTTGTGTTCCTCTTAATATCCAGATGGGTATCTTGGAGAGTCCCAGGCTGCCCATAAGTAGGTAAAAGCCATCATTGTATCTGCTATGCTTAAAATCAGGACTGAAAGAGATCCTCACCTAGGGAGTGAGTGCTGCTCAAGAACAGATGCTTGGACTGAGCCTGGATGTCCAGGATTAAGAGTTGAAAAGGTGAGAAGGAATTATGATGAAGGGGATTATGATGAGGCAGCCTTTGCAGTAAAAGAAAACACAGGAGGGTGAGGTGCCCTGGAAGCCAAGTGGGGAAATTCTGTTAAGGAGATTAGACTAACCAACTGTGTCAAATGCTATAGAAAGGTCAAATTCGGTGAGCACAGAAAACTGATCTTTGGGTTTAGCAACTTGGAGGTAACAAGTAGCAGTTTCAGTAGAGTGCTGGCAAACACTGATTGGAATGAATTCTTGGGCGAATGCACGGGAGGAATTGTAACAGATCACACACAATATTTTAGAGGCGTTTTCATGTAAAGAGAGTAGAAGTAGGACTATAGCTGGAGGAAGAAATGGCAGCAAGGGGGTTGCTTTTTATTTTTAAGAGGGCAGAAGATACTGTGTGAAAAACAGAAACACAATTATGTCCAATCTGTTCATTTCCTTCTTCACTAAATCAATCAGCGATATTGCTTCCCTTTCTAAGCATAGCTATTAAAAATACATGTTTACAATAGAATTTTGCTCAAATGAACACTTTGCTTCAAATTATTTCAATGTCTTGTACTGATTTATATGATGAAACATGATAGTTTCATCTTGCATAGGTGGAAGTCAGATGTCTGACAAACAGGAAGTCAACTATTTCCCTGAAATAGTTAAGAAGTATGAAAGAAAAAAAAAGAGAAAATACCCTCATGAAGCCAACATATACCTGATATCACTGATAGAGTGTAAACATTGGTTAAGCTATTTCAGCCTTTGATTAGTTTATCTATAATCTTTTAAGCTGCAGTATCCTCTTCCCAAATTCAAAGCAAATTAGAAAGGGGAAAGAGTGTCTCCAAATAGAGGCATTCCAAAGAATAAATGTGTTTCTTTAACAACAACAAAAAAAATTCCTTTAAAAACCAATGAGTATCTCAAAAAAGCCTAACATTTTTGAGCCTTTTGAAACACATACAAGAGTACACAATATATTTTATTTCATTATGACAGCATTACTATAATCTTTCATATTTATTTTGAAAATCATTGCCAGACATCATAAGGAAAAATTAAATCACTGATATACAAATAGTAAATGCATAATATATTTTAGAACGATGTCTCCAGGATGCAGATTCTTGATGTCAAAGATCATATTTATCTTGGGCTTAAAACGGTACTTGACATACAGCAGGTACTCAAAAAATGCTTACTGAATTAATGGATGATTTCCCTTTAATGTGGCTATGAAGATTTTTATTTACTTTAAAGGAATATACTATTTATTATTCAGAAATCTTAACTATCTAAAATATTTAGGATGCTTAATTTGGGGAAGACTTTTGTAATAAACATTGATGTAGTTGTCATTTCTTTTAGCTCCATCTTAGCAGAGGCCTAATACATTTATTATGCAGTTTCTACTTTCCTTAAGAAAAGTACACTTAATTAGCGACACAGTCACCGTATGACAACTGTGAAATCACCTTGGATTCGAATTTAAAATTTTAAATGGAATTGAGAGCTCTTGTTTTCTTTCTAGAAATATTTTGTCCAAATCCTCCAGCTATCCTTAATGGGAGACACACAGAAACTCCCCTTGGAGATATTCCCTATGGAAAAGAAGTATCTTACACATGCGACCCCCACCCAGGCAGAGGGATGACCTTCAACCTCATTGGGGAGAGCACCATCCGCTGCACAAGTGACCCTCAAGGGAATGGGGTTTGGAGCAGCCCCCCTCCTCGCTGTGAACTTTCTGTTCCTACTGGTCAGTATCTGCTTCCACATATCCTAAATGGGTTCAGAATATCTGGACCCAATCCTTCATGTCTCTATAATAAGAGTATGGTATCTGTTTGTGAGATGAACTTTGTCATAAGTGGAAATGTCAAAATGACAAACTGTAGCTAAAACAGATGGGTTTCAGCAGTGCCAAGGTGTGTTTGGATTGATAAGATGAGCAGAACTCTTCTTGCTGGTGGAGTGCAGAAGGGTGGGGTAAGGGGACAGAAGGGAGCGGTGGAGGGAAGGCAGCAAGACACAGTTAGGAAGAAAAATGTATTCACCGGAGAGAACACGAAAACAACTGCCTATGAACAATAGCCAATATCAGTATAATTGACAGGCATGCTCTGTAAGTTCATGAGATGCATATGGGCGTGCAAAGTTCAAAATTGGAAATGTGGATATTATTTAGCTAAGGTTTTAACCAGTGTTTTGCTGAGTGAGCTAACCAAAAAGACTCTTTGTCTTGACTAAAAGTTTGTCCACTTATCAGCTTGCCTCCAGGCCAACTTCATCTTTGTACTTGAACTGTTCCACTCGGGGGTAAGAAGCAAGGAAATGAGTAGCCCAAAGAAAAGAGTATGAAAAGGAAGTGGCTGTTTCTTCCTAAGGACGGGAGAAGTTGCCTGTTCCTTTAGGGCAAACATTTGGCCTTTTCCAGAACAGAAGCTGGAGTAGATTGGTGATGTGGCACCAGCCTAGGAATATTCCATTATCCACAGGGAAACCCTGAGAGAGAAGAGCAATCCAAGGTGAAAAGGCATTTAAACCTGATGAAAGGCATTTAACCTTTCTTTGATCTTTACCCTCCAACTGAATGGTACCCTTCAGAATCCAGTAATTTTTTTTTTTTTTTTGAGATGGAGTCTCACTCTGTCGCCAGGGTGAAGTGCAGTGGCATGATCTCGGCTCACTGCAAAGTCCACCTCCTGGGTTCAAGTAATTCTCCTGCCTCAGCCTCCCAAGTAGCTGGGACTACAGGCATGTACCACCACGCCCAGCTAATTTTTGTGTTTTTAGTAGAGACGGGGTTTCACCATGTTGGCCTGGATGGCCTTGATCTCTTGACCTCATGTTCCACCCGCCTCAGCACCACAAAGTGCTGGGATTACAGGCGTAACCACCTCGCTGGACCAGAATCTAGTAAAACAATTTTTTTTAAATTGTTTTTATTGTACTTTAGGTTCTGGGGTACATGTGCAGATCATGAAGGATTGTTGCATAGGTACATACATGGCAATGTGGTTTACTACCTCCATCTCTCTGTGACCTACATCTGGCATTTCTCCCCATGTTATCCTTCCCTGACCTCCCCAACCCCCTGCTGTCCCTCTTTTGCCCCCCCAACAGACCCCAGTGTGTGATGCTCCCCTCCCTGTGTCCATGTAATCTCAGTGTTCAACATCCGCCTATGAGTGAGAACATGCGGTGTTTGATTTTTTAATGCAAATGCCTATGCCCCAGTGCAGGCTTAATGAATGAACAGATGGAGGAAGTCTTCTCCAAAAAGGAGGTAGTTTAGTTCAGACTCTATTTGAAAACATGCAGCATATGGCTGGGCACGGTGGCTCACATATGTAATCCCAGCACTTTGGAAGTCCCAGGTGAGAAGATTGAAGCCAAGAGTTCAAGACCAACCTGGCCAACACAGCAAGACCCTGTCTCTATAAAAAATAAAATTTGAAAATTGCAAATACTGTTAAACAATGAAAGTAAAAATATGCAGCACACAATATACCCTCTCAAAAAGAAGATATAGCTTCTTACAGGAGGCTGACTTAGTCTGTTTTGTTCTGGTTCTTTGTGTGTGTGTGTGTGTGTGTGCACTGTGTCTGTTTTGGAGGCAGGGTCTTGCTCATTTGCACAGGCTGGAGTACAGTGGTGCAATAATAGCTTACTGCAGCCTTGACCTCCCTGGCTCAAGTAAGCCTCCCATCCCAGCCTCCCAAGTAGCTAGGACCACAGGTGCATGCCACCACACCCAGCTAATTCTTGTATTTTATGTAGACTGGGTTTCCTCATGTTACCCAAGCTGGTCTTGAACTCCTGAGCTCAAGTAAACCATCCCAAGAGTGCTGAGACTACAAGGCATGAGCCACTGTGCCCAGCCTATTTTGTTCTATCTTTAAATGCCTGCTTTAGCATCAGAAGAAAAGCATTGTATTAGTTTCCTAGGGCTGCTGTAACAAATTACCACAAACTAGGTGACTTAAAAGAAACTTATTATTTCACAGTTTTGTAGTCTAGAAGTCTGAAATCGAGGTGTTGGCAGGGGTATTTTCCCATCTTCTAAGGCTCTAGAAAATAACCAATTCCTTGCTTCTTCCATCTCCTGCTGGTTTTTGGAATTATTTGGCATTCCTTGGTTTATGGATGCTTCATTCCAATCCCTGCTTCCATGAGAGCCTTTTCCCCTGTGTCTCTATTTTTCAAATCCCTCTGCTTTTTCCCTGATAGGACATCAGTCATTGGATTTAGGGCCCACTCTAAATAAAAGATGATCTAATCTCAAGATCTTAACCTTAATTCTATCTGAAAAATCATTATTCCAAATAAGTTCCTATTCTGAGGTTTTAGGTAGAGATATTTTTTGGGAGAACATCATTCAACTCACTACAAGGGGTATTTGCTATGAAGGGCCAGAGAGGCACCCTGTGAATGGAGTAGATGGAGAGAGATGATAAAATATGTATCACAACTCATGATTGAATTAGCACAAATACATGAGGATTTAAGTGGTTAACTGTGGATATAGGCACTCCTATAGGAGGTCTGACGTGAAACTATAAGTTGAAGTTCTTGCTTTGGTGAAATAAGAGCAAAAAGATCAGACAGCTGAGTAGTCTTCCAAATAGTAAAAATTTCCTGCTGAGTAGATGCCATTGAAAGCTCCATCCCATGGTAACATCAAGGGGAAGAAAATCTTTTGCTATTCTTGTAAGTCTCTTTGTTTCTGTGGTCCCATCTATTAGCTTAATTGGAGAGAAAGAGAAGGCAGGGTGGAAGTCTCTCTGCTAACTTTGGTATTCCTGTGGTTTTGTTCTCCAGGTCACTGTAAAACCCCAGAGCAGTTTCCATTTGCCAGTCCTACAACCCCAATTAAGGAGTCTGAGTTTCCAGTTGGGACATCTTTGAATTACGAATGCCATCCTGGGTATTTTGGGAGTATGTTCTCTATCTCCTGCTTAGAAAACTTGGTCTGGTCAAGTGCTGAAGACAACTGTAGACGTGAGTAACCCCTCCCTGGGAGCTACTTCATGTCTGGGTGTTGGTGGAACTGGGCTTGGTAGCTCACACCTGTAATTCCAGCACTTTGGGAGGCCAAGGCTGGCAGACAGCTTGAGCTCAGGAGTTCGCGACCAGCCTGGACAACATGGCCAAACCCCATCTCTACAAATAACAACAACAATAAAAACCAAACAGCTGGGATTTGGTTCAATTTGCTCGAATTTTGGAGGCAGGATGTCTACATTTGCCCAAGGTATTTTTAAAGGGTGAATTTGTACATCACCTCTTCTTATTGCCTGAAGTTTCTGAACCTTGACTAGATGTTCATTTCATGAGAATGATTCTCACAAGGAATTAGAAAGAAAATTTACATTCACTGTAGATGATCTTTGGTGGCTGAAACTATGAAATGAATGAAACATGGGTACAAAAGAAATTTATGTGGGTTGCAGTGAACTGTGCTTGGCTAACTAAAAATAGGGAGGATATCCTAAATTTTGAGGCCTTTGATTTTGGCTGGCAGAATAAGAGTACAACACTTTAGCCATAAATGACTTGTTTTGTGTTGTATTGTTTCTGTTGTTGTTGTTTTGTTTTGTTTTGCTTTGAGATGGAGACTTACTCTATGACCCAGGCTGGAGTGTAGTGACGCAGTCTTGGCTCACTGCAACCTCCTCCTCCTGGGTTCAAGCAAGTCTCCCTGCCTCAGCCTCCTGAGTAGCTGGGATTACAGGTGCCCATCTCTAGGCCCAGCTAATCTTTGCATTTTATAGAAGAGATGGGGTTTTGCCATGTTGGCCAGGCTGGTCTTGAACTCTCTACCTCAGGTGATCCACCTGCCTTGGCCTCCCGAAGCGTTAAGATTACAGGCATGAACCACTTCACCCGGCCCATAAACAATCTTTATTAGGAGATGCAAGGTAGTCTTTTTAAAAGTGGTTTAAAGATTTTGTGGTTCTGAGGTTGTCTGCCAAGTTTCCTCAACGTAGTCAATTCTGTTGAAACAATCAGAACTGTATATGCTGTTCAGTATGCCACACTCCAGTTTGAGCCTTACAAACAAAAGTAAGTTGAACTCTACACTTAATCTCAAATTCTGCTTCTTCCTCCTAGGAAAATCATGTGGAACTCCTCCAAAACCCTTCAATGGAATGGTTCATGTAAACACAGACACCCATTTTGGATCAACAATTAATTATTCTTGTAATGAAGGGTGAGTTGAAAATACCATCTCTTGAATATTAGTTCCAGAACAGCAGAGCCAACTTCTGACCCAGTCTCAGATAGACAAACTAAACTATTGCTACCTTTACTTTAAAAGCAAGTAATAGGACTTCTAGATGGAGATTATACCTTGGACATAGGCATATGATCAAAGGAATACGAAAAAAAAAAAAAGGAATAATCTGTATTGTATTGTAAATGGGGGGAAGGCACCCTGTTCCTGTCAGAGGTTGTACATGTGAAACCTGGTCAGGCATTCATTGATGAAAAGGAGCAGCTTACAGTAAAAGGAAAACAGGTAGATGAACCATGCAAACCTCCTTAACTGAGATCAGTATGTACTACAATTGAGTTGGAGGACCCTGAATCAGAGTTTGGGAGGGTAAATCTTAATTGTAACAACAGCTCTGGGGGAAGTGTATGCATCAAAAGTACACACAGAGAGGGGACATTTATGAGGTTCTTGCTCTTGACTTCTCCTTGGGACAAGTAGCCAGACAAGAAGCCACTGCCTCAACTAAGAAAGGGCTTTTAAAGACTCTGGAGTGGACTTCCAGCAAACTCCAGCAAGCCTGCAGCAGAGGGGCCTGACTGTTAGAAAGAAAACTAACAAACAGAAAGGAATAACATCAACATCAACAAAAAGGATGTCCACGTGAAAACCCCATCCAAAGGTCACCAACATCAAAGACCACAGGTAGATAAATGCAAAAAGATGAGGAAAAACTAGCACAAAACAGCTGAAAATTCCAAAAACCTGAACAGCTCTTCTCCTCCAAAGAATCACAACTCCTTGCCAGCAAGGAAACAAAACTGGACGGGGAATGAGTTTGATGAACTGACAGAAGTAGCCTTCAGAAGGTGGGTAATAACAAACTCCCCTGAGCTAAAGGAGTATGTTCTAACCCTTTATGCATGGAAGTAAGTATGCAAGGAAGCTAAGCACCTTGAAAAAAGGAGGAATTACTAACTATAATAACCAGTTTAGAGAAGAGCATATATGACTTGATGGAGCTGAAAAACACTGCACGAGAACTTCATGAAGGATACACAAGTATCAATAGTGGAATCAATCAAGTGGAAGAAAGGATGTGAGAGATTGAAGGTCAACTTAATGAAATAAAGCATGAAGGCAAGGTTAGAAAAAAAGGAATGAAAAGGAATGAATAAAGCCTCCAAGAAATAAGGGTCTCTGTGAAAAAAACAAACCTACATTTGATTGGTGTACCTGAAAGTGACGAGGAGAATGAAACCTAGTTGGAAAACACTCTTTAGGATATTATCCAGGAGAACTTCCCTAACCTAGCTAGGCAGGCCAACATTCAAATTCAGGAAATACAGAGAACACCACAAAGACACTCCTTGAGAAGAGCAACTACAAGACACATAATTGTCAGATTCACCTGATTGAAATGAAGGACAAAATGTTAAGGGCAGCCAGAGAGAAAAGTCGGGTTAACCACAAAGGGAAGCCCATCAGACTAACAGTGGATCTTTCTGCAGAAACCCTACAAGCCAGAAGAGAGTGGGGCCAATATTCAACATCCTTAAAGAAAAGAATTTCCAACCCAGAATTTCATATGCAGCCAAACTAAGCTTCATAAGCAAAGAAGAAATAAAATCCTTTACAGACAAGCAATTGCTGAGAGATTTTGTCACCACCAGGCCTGCCTTACAAGAGCTCCTGAAGGAAGCACTAACATGGAAAGGATCAACCGGTACCAGCCACTGCAAAAACATACCAAGTTGTAAAGACCATTGACACTATGAAGAAATTGCATCAACTAATGGACAAAATAACCAGCTTGCATCATAATGACAGAATCAAATTCACACACAACAATATTAACCTTAAATGTAAATGAGCTAAATGGCCCAATTAAAAGACACAGACTGGCAAATTGGAGTCATGATCCATGGGTGTGCTGTATTCAGAAGACCCATCTCATGTACAGAGACACACATAGGCTCAAAATAAAGAGATGGAGAAATATTTATCAAGCAAATGGAAAACAAAAAAAATTAAATAAAAATAAAAAAGGGGTTGCAATCCTAATCTCTGATAAAACAGACTTTAAACCAACAAAGATCAAAAAAGACAAAGAAGGCCATTACGCAATGGTAAAGGGATCAATGCCACAAAAAGAGATAACTGTCTTAAATAAATATGCACCCAATGCAGGAGCACCCAGATTCACAAAGCAAGTTTTTGGAGACCTACAAAGAGACTTAGATTCCCACACAATAATAGTGAGGGACTTTAACACCACACTGCCAATATTAGACAGGTTAATGAGACAGAAAATTAACAAGGATATTCAGGACTTGAACTCAGCTCTGGGCCAAGTGACCTAAGAGACGTCTACAGAACTCTCCACCCCAAATCAATAGAATATACATTCTTCTCAGCACCACATTGCACTTATTCTAAAATTAACCACGTAATTGGAAGTAAAACACTCTTCAACAAATGCAAAAAATAGAAATCATAGCAAACAGTCTCTCAGACCACAGTGCAATCAAATTGGAACTCAGGATTAAGAAACTCACTCAAAACCTCACAACTACAGGGAAAGTGAACAACTAGCTCCTGAATGACTGCTGAGTAAATAACAAAATGAAGGCAGAAATAAATAAGTTCTTTGAAACTGATGAGAACAAAGACACAACATACCAGAGTCTCTGGGACACAGCTAACGCAGTGTTTAGAGGGAAGTTTATAGCATTAAATGCCTACAGGAAAAAGCACGAAAGATCTAAAATTGACACCCTAATGTCACAATTGAAAGAACTAGAGAAGCAAGAGCAAACAAATTCTAAAGCTAGCAAAAAACAAGAAATAATTAAGATCAGAGCAGAACTGAGGGAGATAAAAACACGAAAAACCCTTCAAAATATCAATGATTCCAGGAGCTGGTTTTTGAAAAGATTAACAAAATAGATAGACCACTAGCCAGACTAATAAAGAAGAAAAAAAAATCTAAGAATCAAATAGACACAATAAAAAACAATAAAAGGAATATCACCACTGATCCCACAGAAATACAAACTATCATCAGAGAATATTATTAATACCTCTATGCAAATAAACGAGAAAATCTAGAAGAAATTGATAAATTCCTGGACACATACACCCTCCCAAGACTAAACCAGGAAGAAGTCGAATCTCTGAATAGACCAATAATAAATTCTAAAATTGAGGCAGTAATTAGTAGCCTACCCACAAAAAAATTCCAGGACCAAATGGCTTCACAGCTGAATTCTACCAGAGGTACAAAGAGGAGCTGGTACCATTCCTTCTGAAACTATTCCAAACAATAGAAAAAGAGGGACTTACTCATTTTACGAGGCCAGCATAATCCTATTACCAAAACCTGGGAAAGACGCAACAAAAAAAAGAAAATTTCAGGCCAGTATCCCTAATGAACATCAACGTGAAAATCCTCAATAAAATACTAGCAAACCAAATCCAGCAGCACATCAAAAAGCTTATCCACCATGATCAAGTCTGCTTCATCCCTGAGAGGCAAGGATGGTTCACCTTATGTAAATCAGTAAACAGAATCCATCACATAAACAGAACCAATGACAAAAACCACATGATTATCTCAATAGATGCAGAAAAGGCCTCTGATAAAATTCAACACCCCTTCATGCTAAAAACTCTCAATAAACTAGGTATTGATGGAATGTATCTTAAAAAATAATAAGAGCTACTTATCATACTGAATGGGCAAAAGCTGGAAGCATTCCTTTTGAAAACAGGCACAAGACAAGGATATTCTCTCTCACCACTCGTATTCAACATAGTGTTGGAAGTTCTGGCCAGGGAGATCAGGCAAGGGAAAGAAATAAAGGGTATTCAAATAGGAAGAGAGGAAGTTAAATTGTCCGTTTGCAGATGACATGATTGTACATTTAGAAAACCCCATCATCTCAGCCCCAAATCTCCTTAAGCTGATAAGCAACTTCAGCAAAGTTTCAGGATACAAAATCAATGTGCAAAAATCACAAGCATTCCTATGCAACAATAACAGACAAACAGAGAGCCAAATCATAAGTAAACTCCCATTCACAATTGCTACAAAGGGAATAAAATACCTAGGAATAACTTACAAGGGATGTGAAGGACCTCTTCAAGTAGAACTACAAACTACTGTTCAAGGAAATAAGAGAGGACACAGACAAATGGGAAAGCGTTTCATGCTCATGAATAGGAAGAATCCATATTGTGAAAATGACCATACTGCCCAAAGTAATTTATAGATTCAATGCTATTCCCATCAAACCACCATTGACTTTCTTCACTGAATTAGAAAAAAGTTACTTTAAATTTCATATAGAACCAAAAAGAGCCTGTGTAGCTAAGACAATCCTAAGCAAAAAGAACAAAGCTGGAGACATCACACTACCGACTTCAAACTATACTACAAGGCAAAACAGCACGGTACTGGTACCAAAACAGATACATACATCAATGGAACAGAACAGAGGCCTCAGAAATATTGCCACACATCTACTACCATCTGATCTTTGACAAACCTGACCAAAACAAGCAATGGGGAAAGGATTTCCTATTTAATAAATGGTGTTGGGAAAACTGACTAGCTATATGCAGAAAACTGAAACCGGACCCCTTCCTTACACCTTATACAAAAATAAACTCAAGATGGATTGAAGTCTTAAATGTAAGACCTAAAACCACAAAAACCCTAAAAGAAAACCTGGGCAATACCATTCAAGACAGGCATGGGCAAAGACTTCATGACTAAAACACCAAAAGCAATGGCAACAAAAGCCAAAATAGACAAGTGGGATCTAATTAAAGAGCTTCTGCACAGCAAAATAAACTATCATCAGAGTGAACAGGCAACCCACAGAATGGGAGAAAATTTTTGCAATCTATTCTTCTGACAAAGGGCTAATATCCACTATCTACAAGGAACTTAAACAAATTTACAAGAATATTAACAGACACTTCTCAAAAGA